GTTACCTATATGAATTAATGCTTTTTGAGTATGACTTTGACTTTATGGTTATACGTTCGGTAGCGCCCAGAGCTGGCACTCACTCAAGTCCCCGATTTTCATCACATAGCATAAACTTGGAGTCTCGAGAGTTTCAGAATACAAATATGAAGGTACAGTGCCACATACTTTTCTTGCCCGGTAGGAGGGTCGCTGTCATGGATATTAGTATTGCCAGTATATAAAAAATAACCATTATAAGGGGAATAATTTGAAGTCACGCAGGCTTAGGCTGAATAATTTATTAGAATGTCTTAATAAAACAATGTATACTAGTATCTAGAAAATACAGTTCTAGGCTTAAATAAATGGAACAACTGATATGATTTTGTTACCTATACTATTTATATATTTCTTCTCTAACCCTGTAAAGGATTTTTACTTACATATTATGTCCCATTATATAATAATTATAATTAGGAATACAGTATAAAATAACGATGAAAGTTTTTAATTGGATTGATGTTATACCACTGTTGACATAATAAATCAATGGAAAATAAAAATGACGTACGAATCCAACTTTTTGTGTGATTTGTAAAGAACAATGAAACAATGCGTTATAGAGAAAGTTTTATCATTAATTCCGGGTGCTATACATAAAATATCGTTTTCTCAATTAAACGTAATGATAATTTCTTTCTATCATTTAATGTTTTAAGCTTTCGAAATTGAATATTAAAGCACATATCTGCCATAAAAAATTATATTTTAGAATATTAGATTAGAAATATCTTAGAGAAAGCATTGTGGGGTGCCTTTCTCGAACCTAATTTCGCTGTTTTGCTGATGATTTTTCTTTTTTTTTCTGCTCTAAGTGCCAACAAATTTCTGTAATTTTATTTTATTTTAATGTGTGCTTGTATTATCGTATATGTTTTAATTGTATTTTTTGAAATTTCTATTTAATTTTGTTTGAAAAACTTATGCTTACATTAATTGTCACACATTTTAGATGTAAGATTTTGTAAAATAATTAGTAGATATTTTAGGACTGTGTGTGATGTCGTAAGCTTAATAACTAAATAAATAAATATTATTTCTTATATTCAACTTTTAAGAAATTTTTAGATAAGGCACTTTCTTACTAAACTCTTAACTCTTTTATTAAAGGCAAAACCCTTTTTTTTATTTTTTACTATAGGCAACACTCGTGTTCACTAAAGCCATATTTTTTGACTTCTTTAACGGATTTAAACATAAATCTTATTACGTTAGAGAGACTTGTTATATAAATATTTTTAAATTGAATTTAACGAGTATATCAAATAATAGATCTGGTAGAGTTGTGTTGGCCTAGTGGCTTCAGCGTGCGACTCTCATCCCTGAGGTCGTAGGTTCGATCCCCGGCTGTGCACCAATGGACTTTCCTCCTATGTACGCATTAAACATTTGCTCAAACGGTGAAGGAAAACATCGTGAGGAAAGCGGCTTGCCTTAGGCCCAAAAAGTCGACAGCGTTCGTCAGGCACAGAAGGCTGATCACCTACTTGCCTATTAGATTAACAAATGATCACGAAACAGATACAGAAATCTGAGGGCCAGACCTAATAACGGTTGTAGCGCCATTGATTTATTTTTTTAAATATATCTGGTAGATAGTACCGGCTATCCCAGAGCTAGTGCTTTCCTCGCTCAATGAATAAGTATCGCAATACAGTGGGGTGCATTAAAGGTGCCACAGGGACCAAACATTTTAAGTTTGTTTTAATTTTCTGTCATTTTTTTATTATTACTATGTAGGTTAAGAATATTACTACTGTATATAATTTTGTGTTGGAAATTAATTTTCTCTAATTTATAAACCACGGAACTTTTAAGCATTGTTTTATAGATCAGACAATCGCCATTACAATCTCAACGATACGAAATTACCTCAACGACTTTGCCATTCATCGTACACAAGAGCTTTTGTTCCAATAAAACAGTACAAGCAGTTAAAGATGTAAAGTGACTTTCAGACGGTTAGACAAATTGTCGTGAACGCAGTCACGGCGAGTCTCCGTGAGTACGTTCACCACACGGTTCTATTTCGCGGACAAAATCTTTCTGAATAAATCTAGAACGTCAACAGTAAACTTGTATTTGCTTCAACACTGGACTTTTAGCTTTTTATTTTTTTTAGCTTTCAATGCTGGATAACACCAGAAGCTATTGCACTTTTTTTGACAGGAGGCAGATGGGCAGGAGGCTCACCTGATGTTAAGTGATACCGCCACCCATGGACACTCACTGCCAGAAGGCTCGTAAGCGCGCTGCCGGACTTTTAAGAAATTGTACGCTCTTTTCTTGGAGATCCGTAAGTCGAATTGGTTCGGAAATACTTCAGTGGGCAGCTGGTTCCACATAGTGGTGGTGCGCGGCAAAAATTGCCTTAATAATTGCTCAGTTGTGGAACGACGGACGTCTAGGTGATACGGATGGTATTTTGTATTCTGCCTTGACGTCCGATGACGTAACCCAGCTGCAAGTATTAGTCCGAACAACTCCTCTGACCACTCTCCATGGTAAATGCTGTAGAAGATGCAGAGAGATCCCACATCTATATGCAACGCCAAGGAATCAAGCCGCTCGGAAAGTGACTGTAGCGACTCCAGCTACACATCAGTAGTATGAGGTGATGTGATTTACACTACCAAAGATATATAATATTATAGAGTGCTGTAGCTATCAAATATGCGCCGGAAGCTTACATCTGGAGTATCGTGATTGTCACAGATTAACGTGGTCATCCGAGGCAAAACTTAGAAACACTTGACATTAGTAAAAAAAGCAATTGGCATATTATTTTTTTAATAGGATAGGGGAGCCTAGGGAACGCCCAAAAATGACAGTTATTGCAGCTCCTGGACACACTATTTTAGTAGATGTTGCCGACCTTTGAGGGAGAAGCATGTTCTATTTTTAAATTTTTACTTAACCCGAGGTTTGTACTGAATACCTCGCCCATATTATATCATGCGTAGTACCCATAACACAAGCTTCACCAGCTTAGCATGGGACTAGGTCAATTGGTGTGAATTGTCTATAAAAAAAAAAATATATTAAAAATTAAATCAGCGCCGAAGTGTTGTTAATAGTGATTATGGTCACCCCAGTAGTGCAGATATCGTGCGATCATAATAAAACCTTTTACAATACAAAAGTTTCGGACACAAATTGTGCCAAATAAAATAGAATTATAAATAAAAATGGTACCACAACTAATGGGTCTTGGACTAACATTAGTTTAGTTTTTTTCTTAATTTTAATTAGTCGTAAATGTAGGTGATCCAACTTTGATTATGTTCCCTTTGTAGTAGAGCCGTGGGGTCCAAGTGAAGAGGCACTAATAAAAGATTTAAATTGGTGCTTGATACCGGTGAACCCAGATCCTTTCCTCGCTCAACGAATTAGTATCGCAACATAGCGAGGAAATTGTGCGTTAAAGGTACACTGCCACAGGGAACAAACTTGTTATATTTGTTTAAATTTTCTATTTATCAATTTTTAAATTATTATTATTGCTAGGAATATTCTAAATACTGTATATTCGTGTATTGGAAATAAATATAATTTTAATTAAATTATTTAATTCAATTATTATGATTATTTTTTAATTATTAAATTATTGCTATCATTGAAATCGCTATTTATCGCTCTGGAATTCGGTCACAGGTGTGAACTACGCACATACTCGTATATCCATTGCTGCACAAGTGAACGCAAGATCTAATAGTTCAGTATCACGTGATAGGGTTAACGTAACGCTGATGTTGTATATAATATAATAATTGTGTATCGGTGATATATATGTATATGAATCCATCGCAGAACGAAAAGTAATTAGATCCAGAGAAATCGATACGGCACCTATGACTCACTACGACGGAGAGTGCAATAAAGTTTGACGTATTTGTTCTCGCTGTAATGTTGGGCTTCTATTTTCCTTACGTAAAAAAAACTAGCACTTGAGATTTTGTTTCAATATTTCAAGTGACATGGTGTGGTGTGTGCAGTTCCTTACAATTTCCTTGTAAAACAAAAACTTGGCGGTTAAAGTAATGGCGAAGTTTCTTGGCGATTCTTCTCGTTCAATGTGAACGGGTAGGTAGTAAATGTGAATTTAGATAATAATATTAATAAATCGTTTATTTGCCAAGATAGTGGTACAATTAGATCGATTTTTTAAATATTGACATTCATAAATATAAATATTAATGTATAAATATTGGTTTATGATAATAATTATAATATAGCTCTATAGAGCCCAAAGTCAGTCAAAACAGTCAAAGTATTTATTTCAATTAGGCCTATTAAAATGTCACTTTTAAATATAAAAATTACAAATTAAAAATATTTAAAAAAAATTACTAGAAAAATTCTAGTTACCTCTTCCAAAGGGTAGTTTCATATGGAGAAGAATGGGGAAGAAACTCCATACTTACTCTTTAAAAATAGTTTTTACAATATTTTGTATAGGTACATTGATTTGATAATAATATGTGAAGACCTTGTACCTAGAACAAAAAAAAACTGCTATACTAAAATATGAAATTGATACATGGTGCTCACATATTAGCAAATATTGTAGCTATAGATTTTACAATATTCTTTATAAAAAAATACAGTCAACCAGTGTGTGAGCTACGTCATAGTTGATTTCTTTTTCAAAAAAATAATAGCAAATACAATGATATATAAATCAAGATAATTTTGTCTAGTTTGATTGTACTATGGAGCAGGACCAGCATGTTTCCAAGCACCCAGCATCCCGGTACGAAATTTGGCGAGAATTAATGATGGGTTTGGTAAAATTTCAAAATAAAAGTGTATTAAAATTGTAACAACGTCATCACAATTTGAGGTATTTCACGTCGCACTTATATATTTTTGAGATTTTTATGCAGACAAAAAGAACTTTTTTTCTGTCTATTTTATGGGGTAAAATTAGGCTATGACTTACAACATTGAGAATAATTTTACAGAACAAAAACAGACGACAGGATTGGCAAAGCGCATACGCCTTGGTAGAATGATCGCCAGAGGCATTCACCTGAATTGTGGTGGCGACTATAGTAGCCGGCGGCTTCAAACTGTTTATTGGATAATCTTGCAGATCTGATACTCCCAATAGAGGCAGCGATTCTGACGTCAATACTCAGTTTTTGTGATCCCAAGTTTGCGATACCAATTCTATGGTACTTCGGGATATCTATTAAAAGCAACATACCAGGCTGGTCCGGAGGCCATAAAGGATTGTACTGGAACGTTAATAATATTGTCATTTTACAAGCAATTACATTTGCAAATGCTTTATCGTGAGAGTGTAACCTTTAGAGAATTGTCTCCCAGTCGTATTTTATTACGTGAAAGTCACGCGTTACAAGATCCTCGACTATTTGCTTTTTATTGCAGATCGCATTTACAGAGGTAAATTAATCTACCACAAAAGGGAAAGTTTCGCATGGCTCACAATTCACATCGCTCAGCAAATGTATTGTGGAGCAATTTGCAGGTCACTCGCCGTGTTGTGTGGCAAGGTGTTGTTTTTGATTGCATCCAGGAACGGGATCTGGTAATTATTTATAGATATATTTGTTTGTGTATTAAAATATTAGTCAGAAGACGAACGTTTATCTTAAATGCTATCTTCAAGCAACATTCCCAACTAACGTTTGACCCCATCACAGTAACAAACGGCGTAAGGACACAATTAGCAAAACAAATCTATTTCGGAAATTTTTTCTGCTTGTGCCATTATCCTACTAATATTAAAAGGCCGGCAACGCACTCGCGAGCCCTCTGACATTGAGTGTCCATGGGCGGCGGTATCACTTAACATCAGGTGAGCCTCCTGCCCGTTTCCCCGTTCTATAAAAAAAAATTATAATTGCGAATGTTTGTTAGTATGGATGGATGTTTGTTACTCTTTCACGTAAAAACTACTGAATGGATTTTAATGAAACTTTACAATAATATAGTTTATACATCAGAATAACACATAGGCTACAATTTATAAAGATATTGTGTGAATTGTCCAAAATATCAAGTAAGTAGGAATAAATCTACCATCTGCGAGCTATTCTGGCGTGCGCTGCCAAAACCGCTAGAGTTACACACAATATGTAATATATGATGGAAATGTTTATCTTAAATAGTCCTACAAAGCCCCCCTCAGGGATTCGTAAAGTTGTTAGGCTCTTAGTTTACACCCTCAAATATTTAGTTATTTAGAGCAGTTTGCTGCACACACTAAATTTACTACATATAGATACTCCCGACAGTTATCTATATAAATAAAAATGAAGCGCAAAACTCGAAGACGGCTGGACACATTTTTTTATGGAGAGAAAAAAACAGCGAACAGACTATGTGGTTGCATAGCAAAATGTTCCATATGTCGGTATGTAACTACTAATAAGGTAGGCTAAGAAAAAAAATTATATTAAGGCAAAACGAAGTTCGGCGGGGGCAGCTAGTTGTACAATAAATTTAATACTTCCTCAAATAGTAAAAAAAAATATCTAAATAGCCTTGATTACGATGCAACAGATAATTTGTTATCTATAGCCATTTGAGGTAGTCTTTGAATTAAATTATTTCACACGCCTACACGTATTCACACACGCACCACTCATGCTTAAAATTTTGTCGGTTACTTTAGTTTAGTCATATCTGCGATGGAAGGTTGGTGACCTGGTACCATAGGACTTCTACAGACCTATTATAGGCACCAGCTTCTCACAAAGATGGTCAATACCGGTCAGCATGTAAATATTTAAAATGCAATGTTGTGAAGAGGCAAATAAACTTTATTAGTAAAATTTTGACAAGTCAAAAAAGAGTCGAAAATTGGCAACCTTTGACCTCATTTGGCGATTTACTTTGATGTCGTTTAAATTGTACCAAAACGTTAATGATCCGTGATTCAATTAAATAGAAGCTTCAAACAAAAGCTCTCTTTGTAAAGATTAAAAAAGAAAGAATTCTTGACAGGAAAGCGGTGAACCGCTGCAATGTAAGATAATACGGAGGCTTTTTTGCACATGTAGGCCTATTTTTAGATGTACAGGCTTTGTGTTGTTTTTATAAGCATATTTCTTGACTTATATTTGCGTATTTAAATATATTTGTTAAACTTGAAACTTGCTGCAATACGATTTTGATTTGTCGACGATAAGACTGCGTTTGGTTGTACACTCAAGTAATGTAATTTACACCATATTTACACTTAGCACTGCCATTCCCGCTGCTATTGCTTGCCGCTGCCAGTGTCAGTTTTACGCGATAGCAAGATGCATTTAGGGCAGATAATGCTTTTTGTAGTAGGCCGTAATATTTCGGCAGCGACAGTAGCAAGGGCTGTGCTACACGTTTATAAAAGGTATAATACACTAATATCTTCATTGAAGCAATGACGTATGAACCAAATGGACTTAGACCACTTGACTTGAGACACTAAGACCGAATGTTCACATT